TTTAGAAGTTTTTATCCTCAATATACTGAACAACAAAAGTTCCTGTGACATTGAATAAGATTTAATGCAAAGTTATGTTTTTACCAAATCTGAAACAATTTCGGTTTGCAACAGATAAAAGACTCCTGTAAGTGTTCAAATGGTTTAATTTGCCATACTGACTTCAGAAAATGCGTGATTTTATAAAAAACATGAACTTGCCAAAATGTCAATTTACAATTCAGTAGTGTGTGTGTCCACCTCTGGTTGCGATGCAAGCAACACATCTTCATCTCATGGAATGGACCAGGCGTCGCTCGAAGTCTTGTGGGATATCTGTCCATATCTGCTGGAGCATGTTTCGAAGTTCCTGGAGTGTCTGTGGAACACATGGTTAACGTCGAAGGCGCCGATCCATCTCATCCCACATGTGCTTGATTGGTGAGAGATCAGGGGAGTGAGCCGGCCAGGGATGACATTCATGTTGTTTTGTTGAAGAGAATCCTGAACAAGTTGATCAATATGAGGCCCGGCATTGTCATGTGAAAGGTGAGGCCTGGGCCATGACGACACAAAATGGTAGAACAACAGGGCCGATGATCTCGTCGTGGTAGTACTGTCCATTGAGATTTCCCTCTACCACTATCAAACGGGTCCTCTGTCTTGCTGTAATCCCACCCATACCCTAATGCTGCCGCCCCCGAACCGATCTTTTTCCATGACACAATGATTCAGTCCATCGCTGAGGCTGAGGTGAAAACGAGACTCGTCAGTGAATAGAACTTGTCCCCACTGCATTGCTGTCCAGCGTAGACGCTGTCTGCACCACTGTAGACGTTCTTGACGGTGGTTTCCCGTCAATATTGAACGTCTGGCGGGTCTTCTAGCGACAATCCCTGCACTTCTGAGGCAACGACGTACGGTTTGTGAAGATATTCCTCCAAGTCCAGGGATGCTTCTTGCAGTCACTGTTGCTGGCTGGAATTGAATCGAATCCAGTTGTCTTGTCGATTATTGGTTACACGTGGCCTGCCACTTCGAGGATGGTCTCTGACTGCATTCGTCTGTTGCCAATGTTGCCATAAACACCAAATGGTGTTTCTGTGGACGTTAAATTGTCTTGCAACATCACGCTGACTCGATCCTGCTTCAAACATACCAATGGCTCGCAGATGCTGATTTTCGGACAGGCGTGGCATTTCGGAATGTTGAATAACTGCGTAATTTTGTTGTTTTTCTGAGTGGTTGTTATCAGCACGATGCTAAACAATGCATATGAAATCCCGTTAACGCACATGTTTTTATACCCATTCTTGGGTAGTGAAATGCATGGGGCTTGCATAAAAGTCAACTTTTGCATGGAATGCATGCTTTTCTGTAGCAGTTGCGTTTTTGTGACTTGATTCCATACATGTTCTAGAATATTGAAAACCAAACTGTACTTGTTTGAAAAATACACTAAAATATTGGTGTCACAGGAACTTTTGTTGTTGAGTATATATTGGGTGTGGTTAAAGCCTGGGTATTATTCCCCACATGGGTACAATCTGTGAAACCCATTTCTTGTGTCCTCCGCCATGATATTGCTGGAACATTGCTAAAAGCAACGTAAAACTATACTCACTGACTCACTCACTCCTAAATATATTCAAGAGATTGAAAATATAGTTCCAACATGGTGACTACACAAAGGCACGTGGATACCTGCGCCAGAGTGACCATGGCTAGCATTGACAACAAACAGTCATTGAATTGCTAAAACTATATTAGTGATCTGTCGCCATTCATTATCACATACCACTACCAGGTTACCTGTTTTCTGAGGCATTTCAGCCTGGGAAGGCTTTCATGGCTGCCGACTGCCAGCTAATATGTTTACATCGCGTAGAGTAATGAGCTAGAGATGACCAATGGTCAAATTTAGTTATTAATAATATATTTTCTGATATGGTTTGACCATGTTGACAGTGTTAATGATTATTATTATATTATACATTTATATTCTGCACTTATCCAGGTACAAGTATCTGCTAAAATGTGACAATGACTAGTGACCACATTACTATCAAATTAAATATATAAGAGTGTTATTTTTTCCGGTAAATATTCGATTCTTGTGTCCACGAATAACAGATTCAATTCATGAAGGGATACGGTTCAATTCACCGAATATACGAGTGAATTGTAACAGCCCTACATCAGTCAGATGCAACGATATAGTCCAGCTGTAAGTGAATTCGTGTCGTGAGTTCCGCAGGACAAACAAACATTCACTCCAACTCGTGATGTTGCTTTTTAGTGGTCATAAGTGTTTCTCTATAAATATTTGTGAGGACTAATCCACAGCTTCAGGAGATGGTATGACTGGGCTTCTTTGTGATTGATTGGTGTATATTGACGTGGCGTGGGGCTGAAGCTGCACAGAGGGACGGTGTATTCAACAGTCATGTCAAGCAAACTGACACCCAGTGTTGACATAGCTGTCACTCACACACATCACCCGGGCAGTAATTGATTCCATTGTTGTCAATAATTGGGATTATTTCTGTGATGTAATGTTCAAATGCTCCATTGAACAGTTTCTCAATGAAGACAGAAATGTTATGGACTTATGCTTCTTACCGTAGATGTTATTAAAATGTTCTGAGGTGAGGTGAGGGGAAATTGGGTTTAACGTCGCGTCCAAGATTATTGCACTTATATAGCGACGTGCATGTACGTGTGTGTGTTTGTGTGGCTGCTTGTACTAGTCCGGACTGCTGCCGATTATTAGTGCTAGCTCTCTGAGATAGCATGCTGCAGTTTAACATGACTACACCACTCAGACACAGTATACTGACTCCGAGCCGACCAGTCCTTGTTTTAGCCCCTTAATGCCGAGCGCCAGACAGGGTAACAACAAGTACCATCTTTTAACGTCTTTTGGTATGACGCGGCCGGGGATCGAACTCCGGAGCTTCCGCTCTCCAGGCGGACACTCTACCACTAGACCACGGAGGCGGTCTAAAATGTTCTGAAGCTCTTGACAGTTTAAGATTGTAGGCCTATGTCAGATTTGAAATTACTTTGGTATTTATTAATTAACAGAAAACTGTGCCTGGCACGGGGCACTGGTGGCCCAGTATTCTAAGACACTACAATTCACTGTACACAGTTGCGTCCCCTAGGTGTGTCAGGATCAGCATCTATGCTTGTGGGTGTCAACAAGGTGGCAGTTTAGATACTGTTCCAATTACACTCCCTCACAGCAATGTTCGTATCATTGTACAAAATATTACATTATGTTTTATTACCCATATGTTAAGAAATAACTGAGTTCATAAAAGTTGTATTTGCACTTTTGCAAATATGACTTCACATTTGCCAGTGTATTGTTTACGTCGGCCAGACAGCATTGTTGACAACATTCCAATCATATTGTGACGTAAGGTCGGAATGACATCATACTAGAAACAATGGCATAGTTGAAGATTTTTAATGTCATTCAACAACTGTGGTTTTCTTGTGAAGAGCCAGGGTAGAATAGCTCTTCAGCAACCCATGCTTGCTGTAAAAGGCGACTATGTTTTTCGTAAGAGGCGACTAGCGGGATCAGGTGGTCAGGCTTGCTGACTTGGTTGATGCATGTCATCAATCCCAATTGCGTGGATCGATGCTCATGATATCAATCACTGGACTGTCGGTCCTGGAATATGGCTGAGTGCGGCGTTAAATAACAAACAAACAATTCTAAGATGGTGGTCACGATCACGATCAAAGCATTCTTCTGAAAGGGAGCTCAAACGGATTAAGAAATAATGGGTAATAAAGAAATTATGCTTGCCTTGTGTGTCATACTGGTTTTACAAAACTTGTGGAAGAATTTGTGTATTTCCCAAGCAAGAGCTAGAATTCCGACACTTGTTTTGTAAAATCAGTATGACACACATGCTCAAAAAATATTCTTAATATATTCCATGATTATTTTTATTGTATTTCTATCTCACCTGAATGTTTGGTACAGCAATGACATAAACCTCCTCATTGACACAGTACACAATGGGGTTTCTAAGATAGTATTGGTTTCCAGTGACCTAAACTTGACATACAGGTCAACGGAAATGGATACGATGATCAGGCTGTGAAACCGTTCAATACTTTTTCATCAAACTTTGCAGGTTTGTCAGGTACATGCTGAACTGGTGCCTTTTGCTATTTAGAAATTTTAGAAATTTTAATTTTTTACGTTTCCATGGCAACAAGATGGACTTAGGTTCCCAACTCTTCTTTTTTTTACAATTTCCATGACAAGTTCCACCCCGGTTAAAAAAGGTTAGGGTTTGTTTAGATTTAGTTACGTCATAAATTCTGCAACAGGGGCGGGGGCTATAGCCACGTAAGTGGCAAACTCTTGTTTGACTTAGGGTATGGCATCATGTCCCTTGGATCAGTTCTCTTGCCATCAGCCACTGAGGTTTACCTAGTCCAGTCTTGATTATTTACATGCTGCCATGTATAGCTCGAGTATTGCTGACACCCACCTACAACAACTAACACACAAAAGTTGTTGATATCAATTAATCTATTTTTGATATTGCAACATGTTTTTTGATGCATTATTCTTGTGTTTGGGTTCCTTCACTCCAAATCTGTTAAATGAAAAAATGTTGCCTAAAACAAATTCGATGATAACCATGTTTATGTGTGAGCGATAGGTTATTGCAGAAGGGGGAATTCTTATTAATAATTTTTTTATTGCTATCTTGAACTTGTGATTTTATCAAATGTTTATGATAAATAAAATAAAAATATTTTTGATATTGCTAATTTGATTAATAGATGTCTACAAATAATAATATGTTTCAGATATCATGAATTTAATTTATTCAATTTGTGAATATTATGAAATTTAAATAAATATTGTTTATTAATTTAAAAAACACATATGTGATAGTAATGGTTATTTATCATCAAATTGATATTCAATGTTTGAACAGTATTATTTTTTAATTCATGTTTTCATATTTTCATTTTAATTTCAGGCACTTTTCCCCTTTTTCATCAAAAGTGTTGATTTTGATTCCTTCAAAGGTGAGTCGTAGATGTAATCATACAAAATGGTTGAAGTAAATTTAGAAGAGCTGGATATCATTAACTGTGTTTTGCCAGTGCTGTGTCACAGCGATATGTTTGTTATTGAACTTCCCCATCACATCACTTGGAAATGTATGCTCACAAATAAATTTACCAAATGTAATTTGTGAGATAAATGGACTTGGTGAAATATGATATCAATAATGAAACATTAACATGGTCGTGTTTTCTTAAGCACGTTAGTGCAAGCTGTTGGCTGTGCAGCTGTGAGCGCACTGTTGTTGTGTGCAGTGTTTGACGCAAATTGTAAAACTGAGTAATTAGGGTGGACAGTGTGAGGTTATTTACTTAAAAAATAATCCATAAGAACAAGTTGCATAATCAATGTGCATCATCCTTGTTAATTCAATCCTTGTCAGGTCAATAGCATCTGTTATTTCACTTCTCGGCTGCACTCGAGTTGATGTTATCATTCAGGGCCCCGTTTCACAAAGCAACCGTAGTGCTATGACTTTTGTAACTCATATACTTTCACATAGACTTAAGACAGTTGTAGCACTAAGATAGTTGTTGTTGAGTTTGATTTTACGCCGCTTTTAGCAATATTCCAGCAATATCACGGCGGGGGACACCAGAAATGGGCTTCACACATTGTACCCATGTTGGGAATCGAACCCGGGTTTTCAGCGTGGCAAGCAAACGCTTTAACCACTAGGCTACCCGACCGCCACTAAGACAGCTTCAGCAGCATTGAAATTCATTTTATCATTCAGCTGGTGTGTCAAATGTCTTGTCAGTCTCAACAGCATTCCAAGAAATATGATCACACTTCCAAGAACATTTTACTTGATGTTATCCTAGGCTAGTTTGACAGAATCACATGTCACTATCACGTATATTTCATTACGCTGCAGCCGTGTGGCATGTCCTGATGGGAAGAAGTACCAGTCCCATTCACTGGTTATTGCCCATGTTTCACCAGTTTATGCACTGATGTCAGCCCGGTGGATGTCCACATGCTATTCTCTCATCAACACCACCAGGGCTTAATGTTAACATGGGGAGTCAAGCACTTAAGTACATGCAGTTGTATGCTGTTTTAGTGTTATGTTGATGGTAAGGTATCCTATCAAGCTTTAGAGCTCCAAGCTGGCACATTCAGTCCATTGTTTGATGGTTGGGGAAATATTGTTTCTGTTTTTTTTCCATGTTAGATCCATTCCTATGTGATAAAAAACCTCTCACCTGTTGTTTAAGATTAAAAATCCCCACCTACTGACCAAGATTTTACACCAAACAATTCTGTGAACCAAGAAATAATAAATGTCCATTCGCGATTAACAGCTTAACATTTAGAGAATAACCAACGAGCTACAAGGAATTACTGATTATCTGTCACGAGTGAGTGAATGGTGTTAAACCCGAGCCTTTGGTCAGGGACTTATTTCAGCTTTCATTCATGAGGGACAGATAAACCGTAATTCTGAGTTTCGATTAGGTTATTCTATATTTTACACATTGACATTTTAAGAGAAAATGAAGAAAAAAAAGTGAAATGAAGCAGCCTATTGTTCAGATAATGATAAGGTAATCAATTCATCTTACACTTTCTTGACAATGAAGCACTGTGATGTCACATAGGTCCAGTTAATGAATCAGAATTGAGAATTGCGAAAATGCACATGTACAAATATCAGAAAGTTATTACGCAAGATCGTTCAACCCTTATGGGCATATGGTACCGGTATATGGGCTGTATATGGGTAATATATCTTCATTCTGTTATGATGGACTACCCTGGACCCATTCATTTGGGACGTCCCCATCTCCATCCCCCTTATGTTTTTTTTTGCATCTTAAAATGGGCTCAAAATGAAGCTATTGTAGGGAATGGGTCCAGGGTAGTTATTATATTAGAATGAAGATATAAGACCCTGGATGATCGAGGATGATTCAATTTTGACCTTTTGAGTTTTATCCATTTGTAAGATGACCTTGTGTCCTCTCCTGCAGCTATCAACGATGCTTGTCTGGTATATGATGGTAAGCTGGTGATTGACGCCTCCTTCCACACCAATGATGTCGCCATCAGAGGTGCTGGCACCATCACCAAGTATCAGCGCCGTTACCATGCCGACCAGTGGACACATGCTAACTTCAACTCTAAAGAAGTTGGTATTGCGGTAAGTTTTGAAACATTCCTATTATACTGTATCATGGTTAGCATGGCGTCCATGCACCACTTTTCTCTGACTAATGGATTTGGAAGTTAAGAAAAACGTACAACTTTATGGATAACAACTTCTGGTTTATTGCATATAGTGACGTTTCAATGTAGATTCCTACACCGCTATCATTCCAGAGATTCCTAAACCAGCTTTGTTAGTGGCCCAGTAGTCAAAAGTATTACAACTGCTTGCAGAGTTATGGCCCTTATTCATGCCAGGATCATCTGCTGATCATGGGTTAGAATCCCAGATGTGACCTTGGTCTGTCAGCTTCATGTGTGATTTTAAGGGGGAAAATGTCTATGACCTATGGACCCAGCCTTAGAAATACATTTTTTGTCAAGACTAGTCCAGAAGACCTTGTTTCAGTAGTCCCCTGAGTTTGTAGGAAGTCCTGCTTGAACAAGACAAAAATGTTTACGTAAGTTTCATTCAGACACAATTTGTAGCAAATTTAAAGTCAAATGAGGACTACCATCATTGGAATTTTACGGGTCCTCAGCACAAGTTGGTAGTCATGGGCTAGCAGACTAGCATTAACTATGAAGGCTGTTGAACCAGTTTGCTCTTTGAGTTACCAAACTGATGGTCTGATAAAAGTCACAAGATTGACATTTCACCGAAATTAATTCATGATTTACAAGCTGAATAGGCTTCTACACCACAAAATGCAAGTAACTTTGTGTACACCCCTGACCTTCCGTCTAGAGTGCATGAGCCCAAGACCATTCAGCTTGTACAATCCCATACACTCCACTAGTTACTCATTGTCTCTCTGAAACTTTGTGTACACCCCTGACCCTCAGTCTAGAGGTGCATGAGCCCAAGACCATTCAGCTTGTACAATCCCATACACTCCACTAGTAACACATGTTACTAATTGTGTCTCTGAAACTTTGTGTACACCCCTGACCTTCAGTCTAGAGGTGCATGAGCCCAAGACCATTCAGCTTGTACAATCCCATAGACTCCACTAGTAACACATGTTACTAATTGTGTCTCTGAAACTTTGTGTACACCCCTGACCTTCAGTCTAGAGGTGCATGAGCCCAAGACCATTCAGCTTGTACAATCCCATAGACTCCACTAGTAACACATGTTACTAATTGTGTCTCTGAACCTAATGGAGGTTGTTCCTCAGTCTGTTCTCCAACTCACCAGATAAAAGCCCTTGGTGTTAAGCATCAGGTTTATCGTCATAACTATTTTCCCTACCTCCTGCCAGGTTGCACACTGTCATCTATAGTGGTTTGTGGGTTGAAAAACATGTCTTGCTTTTACCAGCAACAAACGAAAAACTGATTTATAACTGTTGAGAACAAAGGCTTGGTTGGACTAAACCGTGTTGTGTGGTATGGGTGGGTGAGAAAGGTACGCTGCTTTTTTGTGAGGGGTAGCTGAAGAGTTCTGAGCCTAACTACGAAGGATGTAGAGTACATCCACCATCAAGGAGAGGCTACACAACAGCGAAAGCAGTGGAAACATGCAATGTCTCATCCTCTGAAGAAGGAGGCAAGGTCTGTTCCATCAGCTGGCAAGGTGATGGCTTTGGTTTTGTGGGATTCCAAAGAATCGTCCTGTGGACTACACGCGATTAATGGCCAATGTTATGCTTATCTGCTTTGGCAACTGTGTGAGGATATCAAGGCTAAACTGCATGGACAATTCACTCATTTAATTACATTATACAAAAAAACTGATTAGGAATTAGAGTCCTCAAATACTACAAGTGCACTTGTGAACATGTGCACAGTCAAAATTAGCATAGTTTGATTTCCACCTCTTGAAGAAAGAACTGTTTGGCAAGCATTATGCAAATGATGATGACGTCATTTCTGCAGTGGAGGACATTTTACATCAACCAGGACAACACCAGTAGGGTCAAGGCACTCCAGCATCATTGGCAGAAGTGTGTGGACCTTGGGGACGGATTATTTTGAAAAATATTCATCAACCAGCTCCATCAATGCAGTCCATAAAAACAGGTTGAGAACTTTGGAGGAATATTCCAGCAACATCACTGCGAGAGAACCAGAAAGGGGTTCACACAATGTACCCATGTGGGGATTTGAACCTGGTTCTGTGGCATAAAGAGTGAACGCTTTAACCACTAGGCTACCCCCACCCTAAGGCATATTAAATCCAGGACCTGAGTTTGATGTCACTGTTTACTCATTGATTGGATGCAGATTTCCTGTCAGTGTCAGATCGGATGTCGTGATGTCTACTGTCGCCCCCACCTTGATTGCTTTAATTAATGCACATACCGAGTGAACATGCAATAATAACCACAGCCGAAGTCATGTCATTGGAAAAGCAAATTAATCTTACATTGGGTAGAAGGACTATAAAAGCTGATTACCAGCTATATATTTACTTACGAAAATAAACCTGCCAACCATTGTATCATGCTTATAATAGCCTTTGTGTTTGAAGGAATAATTAACAGACACTTGGCCGTCTGCTCTTGTAAGGCTGTTGGTTACATCAAGGCTGTTGCTAGGCATGGCCGTACGTCTCACTTTGAACCCCCAATGACCTGCAGCTGCAGATGGTAATTAAAGAACCATATCTAATTGTATTGCATGTTCGGGTAATTATGTGTCTCGATTGGATTATTGATCAGGTGTAGGTCATTGTAAACAAGTTTGTTTGTTGGCCAGATATGTCATAAACTGGAACCAAATCCAGTTGGATTGTGTAGACATTTCATGAAAAGAGTTTCACAACCACAATGGATACTTGGGACCTCGTCCATCTGGAGTTGTCACAAGGATATGTTTTTGGGCATGATGATTGCCATTGTTTTTTCTTTGTAAGCTCTATACTTACAACATAACAATGGTGTTCGCTTTACTCTGGCGACACATAAATGAAAACAAAGTGAGAAATAGACCGAGATCTAAGTCTTTATTTGTGTCAACAAAATAACTGAGTATTCCAAGAATGTCCAATGACATGCTATGTACAACAGTGTTATAGTTAGCAGACTGTGATCCTGTTGTGACAAGTGGACATTGCCGTGTGTCAAACAACGCCACTGACCCGTCAAAGACATTACACCAATGGCAAAAACAGAAGGAACAGACATACATTCACATTGTTTTCTAGTATGCGACTTAATCCTCTCATTCAATCCATTATAATTATATTTGGAATTGTAAGATTGATTACCGTATTCACTGTAATAAGTGCCCTGGGCGCTTCTAATTTACTTAGGTGGCGCTTTTTAATATGATGAGTTCATTTGTTTTCAGAGATTGATTGTGTCAAACAATTACATATGGCATATCAGTCAAGTGCAGCATGTATGTATTTATTGAAAACAAGCTCACAAAACATGTATTTATGAACAATCAAACTGTAAAAGTAATCTCCATAGAAAAATATCAATTTTTAATTTTGTGTAAAAAATGAGTGTCAAGAGCAGGAGAGTCTGTCCTACAGACCCTGAAACAAATACAACTGTATATCCAAAATAGCCAGTCTTACAGACCCTGAAACAAATACAACTGTATATCCAAAACAGCCCATGCACTTCTATAATAGCTGGCAAGTCTGGTTTACTGCAGTTTCAATGAAAATGAAAGCACTTCTCTTGGCTCCCTTTGATTATATTTTATCAAGATAATAAAAAAAATTCTTTTTGGTAAAATAGTTTCTTTTCAGAGACTAGTTCTTTATCTAGTAGAAGGAGGGAGAAAGATAAAAATATAGACTAAAAGTAGAACAACTGGCTATGAAGTACTAGAACTTATAGATCACTACTTCATCAGGTTTAACAACTCTTGACCTATACTGAACAACTTCCTGTTGAAGTTAATATAGAAAAGCTGGAGCTATTTCTATGTTTTCACCTCTGGGCAACTGCCTAGAGCCAAGAGTTGGCTGTAAATAAAATTGAATGTTTGCCACTGTAATCACTCATCCTCTAAATGAAGCTTGATGCTGTTTAAGAGTCCCCTGCTCCAGTTAAAAGTCATTACACCCCTTTCAATGGTCAAACTTTTCTTTTCCAGAAAGAAAATTTGAACTTTGTATGTTTTTCTTCATGAATAACATTAATGTTACAAATGTTATATTTGGGATAACACTCTCTTAGTAACGTACAGATTCTCATACTTTTTGGGTTGAGTCCCGTCCAAAAGTATGAGAATCTGTACTTTACTCAGAATGTGTTATCCTAAATATAACATTTGTTACATTTGACCACTTTCTAAATGGCATTTTGTGTTAATAACATTAATATTAATCATAAATAAGAACTCATTCTGTACAGGAAAATATCAGAGCTTAAGTTTGTTGGCGTAATAAGAAATAATACTTCAAGAATTATATCCCAGATTGATAATTTTTTTCGTACATTCAAAAGAGTGGTAATTTGATTAGAAGACTGGAGAAAATTATGTCAATTGCTGTAGCAGACAATTTAGACAAGTCCCAGTCGATATGACTCCCTATAACGTTGCCTATAGATTCAAGCTTCAAGCTGTTACTGACTACATATTGTGCACACTAATTGACTGGTATGCCTTCAGATTAATTTCCTCGTCTGATTGCGTTGTAAGCCTCTAATTAACACACCCTCACAATAACTCAATACAGTTATGAATGTCATAAATGAACAAATACCTTTGAATATGTACATATTTTACATATTTGCTTCAGAACGAAATAACTGTACTAAAAGACAATGTGTCAACACATTTATAAATACTTGTCTATACAAACAAACAAACAAAAAAACAAACATAGGACCTGCCCTGTTTGTGAGCAACATTCTATCATATACACATGTTGGTCAGCTTTATCTGAAATTATGCGTTTGTAATATGGTGGAGATATTCCGGGTCACATATTATGCACATTCATTGAAAATGAACAAGAGGAACATGGGCAGATGACATCATGAATAATTGAAAAGGAAACCGTGTAGTTTCGTTTCGTTTGTTTGTTTTTTAACGTCGCTCTCAGCAATATTCCAGCTATATGACGTCTGCCTGTAAATAATTCCCCATTCCAGTGGTTGATATTGTGAGCAACGATCCACACCATCAGGATACGATGACAAGCTATCAACCAAGCCTGATCGCCCGATCCAATTGGTCTCATTGGTTGGTGGGGACCAATTCTATCCCAGAATCGTCATAGGGAGAGATGTACCTTGTAAGGTTGGAAGGTCTAAATATTCTGTTTATCTTACCTGGCTTTCACCAATATCCTTATAGTTCCTACAAATACAACTGTAGTGACTTTAGTTGATATTTAGTAGTCACAGTATTTGATGTTTGATCATATTTTCAGTACTTTACCATTGTTGACGAAACGGCGCCATTTCTTGTTTCAACATGATCGCGGGTCATGTTCGAATTAATCCCTGAATTTTCATCAGTATTTAACTGACCAGTTCTGGCTCCACAGAAGAAAATTTTCCTGAAGGCGTTCTTGTACTGTGAGTTGCCATGGGCATACAGGAAGGGGTTTAACACGGAGTTAGCATGACTTAACACGATCGCTGCTAGCAGGAAATTGTAAGGGGGCGAACAGGTCATCCCACATATCAATGATAAGGTGTTAGAGATGTGCACAGGCAACCAGCACACAGCGAAGAGTCCGATGACCATGGCAAGAGACTTGGCTGCTTTGATTTCCTTCAGGAACTTCTTGTTCTTCTTCTTTCCCTCTGCTGCCACTTCGAGAGAGGCAATCTGCCTCATCTGCCGCTTGACGATGATGAAGATGTAGATGTAGATTAACATAACAATTATCAGGGGCGTAATCACAAATCCAAAAAAATTAAAATACACCATGTATTTCATGTCAATGACGAATGTGAAACCGCATGTCTGGTAGCCAGTTTGTCCCAAATTCCATCCGAACATCGGAACCAGCCCGACGAGGATGGCGAAAATCCATGTCACAACGAGGGCCATGATGGCACGGGGAACGGTCATCACACGTTGGTACAGGAACGGGTGTTTGATGGCGACAAAGCGTTCAATTGCGACGGCTAAAAGTCCAAAAATTGACACTTGGGTAAAAAGAATTATGACAGAGTTTATGAAGACACATGCGTAGAAGTCCATTTTGAGATTGAGAAAACTGAGGGCAGCACAAGGCGCGACTACAATGCCAACAAGAAGGTCGGCCAGCGCCAAACTAGCGATGAAACAGTTGGTAGTCGTCTGTAGCTTGGGTGTCTTGTAGATAGCGACAAGCACGAGGCCATTGCCTACTACAGATACGAGGCCTATTATAGTCTCAAATGTTATGTACAAGATTGCTTGAGCATCCATTGCGCTGTTAATCACTCATTAGTTTCTTGTAATAGCCATTTCCTGCAAAGAGGATACTTTTCACTTCTTGTTAAACTTTCAGGGTAAAGCTACTTCAGTGGTGACAAACATATATTGCAGTATTAGAAACAGCTATCCCTTTTCCAATTTAGGAATCTGTGCCTATGTAACCATGTGTGCTTAATACATGTATTTGTACATAAAAGTAGAAAGACAAATGTCAATTTCGCCACAGCTGAAATTGACGTGCTAATCCATGATTTGTTAACACATGTGTACACTACACACTCCCAGTTGATCTGCGCTAAGCATCAACATGGCAGTGTTATATGTCCACAGACCACCCTCCTCATTGTCATAATCCCCTACCATCCAATCAAACAACAGGAAATCTTCACTGTGTATGCCCCTCAGTCAGTCAGCCAAGCGATTGACAACATCAAAACAAGCAATTGCTCACTGTCAACAAATGAGTTCACTTTGATTGATTTCAATCTTTAACGAGCCTATTAGAAATATGTTTGATTGGATTTAAAGCTAGCAAACATTCCTTTATGTAAAGTACCAGTAGTGAGTTGATTTCCTTGGTCAGATGATGGCTTGTCAATTTCAAGTGACTTGGCTAATTGGTGCTTGTCAGAGGAAGTGTCGATGCTGCTGGTGTTTGCTCTTGTCCTCAGGGGTTGTGTGTGCGGCACTTGGTCTCACTGTTATGATGAACAAGAGGTACCAAAGAATATTGGCCACCAGTGTGAAATATCTGTTTGGTGTGGTCAGTGTTTTTCTCTGTTTGGAGTCTTGTCTCTGGCAGTATCAGGAACAGTTGTCCAGCTTGAAGCATCACTGAAGTCCTTCTGAAATACATAGTCAGGCATTGTTTAGTTTGCAAAGTGGTACAAGGAATATCTAGTTCTAATCAGTGTGTTAATATTGGGAGTATGAGGATAAACTTTATGTGGTAGATTATTTGTTGTACTTAGGTTTGTGTACATGTTAAGTCAGTGATTTTGTTCATTACTTATCATTAATGTTTTAATGAGTAATATTGGCAATGGATATTAAAGATGAATGGTTTCTTTAAAAGGAAAAGTTTTGATGTTTTTGTCATGCTCCCTGCCCTGTAGCAGTTATTTGCTGGTCCAAACATTGTAATTAGTGCCATGCCTGAAACTGAGATATTTTATTAAAGTAATAATCTTACGGTAGATTGATTTACACATAAAATTTAACAGAGCTTCAGATAAGCTGCGTATCTGCGTGAAATACGCATCAGAAATGCAGAAATACGCAGTAAAATATAATCCAAGCGTATCAAATATCAGCAACTTATTTTGAAATTATAAACGGGCATTCCGTCAACCTTGCCAAACTCCACGATGACAGTTACATCATGATCATTTGCCATCACACTTTCGTGTGGAAGTATCGTGGTATTTTTGAGTCCTATAAAGCTCTCAAACCCACACGACGCCAGTTTGCAGGGACTAGATGAATAGTGTTTTTAAATATTTAACTTAATACCCACATGTGTAAAAACTAGTGGGTAACAGAAATTTGAATACGCAGATAGAATTACTGATACCCAATGATTTCAAAATGCATGGGTAAAATACCCACAACACCAAAAGCTTATCTGGAGCTCTGTTTAATATAGCAAATAAACAAAATTGTGTTTGAATGTGACTTTAATCTAATTAGGTAGGACTGTCAATTAGCTGAGCCTTGAACGTCCCCCTTAAACCAAGTTATACAAAATTATCCTTAAGGCTGAAACTTTAGGTGTTGTAAGATTTTGGTTTGTAATTTAGTGAAGCTTATTAAAGCTGATAAGTTACTGGGAACAAAATAAAGCCCCACTGCTGCATTGTTGAGAACAGTAGGTTGACTTCAGCAAAGGTTTTTGGAGCACTAACATTGTATACATTTTATATTTACATTTTTAAAATAGGTAATATAGGTAATAGACCATGGGTAATACAGAATAGTCTGTTTGAAATTTGGAATTATGGATAATCTGCCCCTCCTGAATACTGAGGTAAAAAAATTTTGGGGATAGGACATTTAGGCTAGAAGTAGGCATCCACGTAGGCATCCACGTAGGCACCAAGTGTGCTCCTCTTCTGGTTGATCTGTTTCTTTGTGCATAGGAATCGGAATTTCTGTTTGGATTGGCATACAAGGTAATTGGGTCAAGAAGTCTAACTTAAGCTTCAGGTTTATTGATGATCTGATATTGTTCAATAATGGTCAAATAACTACTTCCCTTCCACTGATTTACCACCTGAACTAGAAATATAGGTGACCAGTGAGACTGCCTCATCTGTTTCATATTTAGATCTATGCATACAGATACAAAATGACAAAACAAACTATTCACAAGACTGTATGACACGAGGGATGACTTCAATATTCAATGCAATTCCCTATCTTGACTTGTATCATATGTTCCCATGCTTTTGTCAGGGGAACAATTTACTTGCATTTGCATGTGTTTGTGATGGGTGCCACTGGTGGAGAAGGATATGCTCACCTTTTTGCGAACAGCTGATATCACTGTTTGATAGTGATTCAGAAACATGTGCTAATAAAATAGTCAGAATCTTAAATTGAACTGTGCTTTTAGTAGAAATTTCTTATGATTAGGAATTTTTTTTGTTGCTTTTTTTTAACCGTTGTTAATGGGCCTAATGTAAATAAAATCCTTTTTACTTTGACTTGACACTGTATATAATTTCCCATCTTTCCCATGTGAATGAACATCATAAATGAGGAATTATGAAAAACATTATTTCCTGTTTGAAATTAAGCATGGAAGTCCTTGTCATAATCCGTATGTTAAAACTTTACACTTTGTAGCTCAGGGGGTCTCTAATTTCAAATAATATTACAGTATACCCTAAGAACCCCCAAATTTCATTGATTCTTATAATAATAATATGTCATATTTTTGCAATGATATGACGAATTCCCAACGAGATTCATTAAACTACATCTTAGTGGGTCCAATGTCTTGTATGCCTAACATTAGCGTCAATCCACTGTCAATTGGTGAGACGGCCATTCCAGTCTCCACTTCCTGGTAAAGATCTGGGTGTGTACCTGACCTGTCAATGGGGAAGCAAGTATATGAGCTCTGCATATGCTGATATTACCATATCAGGACTATTGGAAGCACACGTCCTCTACTGACTTAGGATTCCACAGCACCACTCATGCAATGCCTATCTGTCCCGGATAGACTACTGCACCAGTTTGCTTCCAAACATCTTCCAAGAGCTTATCAGTCGCCTCCAGCAGATACAAAATACTGCTGCATGTATTGTAACTAACGCACCAAGTTTGCCAATATATCTCTTGTATTAAAAGTCTCAATGGTTACCTATCAGAGCATGAGTGGACTTCAAGATCATGTCGCTCACCTACCAACTCATTCTCAGTTGTTGCTCGAAAAACCTCCCATGGTTTTACATGAGATATAATTATATACAATTTTCAATACATACAAAATGGCAGCATTTACAGGTATAATGAAAATAGAATAAGTAGATACTAATTAATTTTAGCTACTTATTGTATTATACCGATGATTAAGGAATTTAAAGAAACTTTAGATCTCTTACACCGTTAGTGGTCAAAGGTGTCTTAAATTGAAACTAATTTGGAAATTGAAGATATTTTTTTGTTTAAGAGATCATATCACAGTTGGAAAGAAGCCCAACACCTGAATAAAAATTCAAACTCATCTCCCACAGCAACTGAATTACAGAGTTGGCATAGGCAGTCTTCCCTGGGAATGTACAACGGTTTCAACGGGTCATCTATTGTTAGTAGTTACTGAAATATTGATTTTGAAAGTAATAGATGTTTTTCAAATGAAGCTTGATTCTTTTGGTACTTGTAATCCGATTCTTTAGAGCTTGTTTCAATTGTGGATTTCCAATTTTGTAGAATTGAAATCAATATATATATTTTTTAAACGTTGGGGCCAGCCATAGCTTGGAGCATTTCGATGGGTTTTAAAATACATATGGTAGACGGCAGTTATCTTATAATTCTATATAAGCTCTAACCATGGGATATTCTAAACTTCTTCATGGATAGTAAACGTGGCGTTTGTAAAGTATTTTGGATGGTTTAGGATTAACATCAAGCAGCAAGCTTATGACAAAAGGAAATAACACATTTATAAACGTTAATACCAGGCGGTTCCCAATTCACCTAGCAACATAAAGTTGGGGGTTGCGTTTTTCAATTCAGTAGCTAATTTAATTTCTTTTAGATGGACCCTTTTTATATATAAATTCTCATATTCCCAAATATCGACAACATATAAATAGGGATGACAACTGCATCAAATGCAGATTGAAGGAAATCTCATGGTAAAGTTCTGATAAGACTTCTTGAGTAGGATTAACATGAGATTTGACTGCTTGTATAAAACATCAATTTTGTGTAGTTTAATGCCAAGATAGTTATGTAAATCTATGATTTCGATAGGATCGGTACCAATAGTAAAACATAGTTTTGATTTGTTGCAAAAGATCACAATGTTTGTCTTTGTTAGATTAACATTTAATTTCAATAAAGCATAGTATAGTTTAGCACCATATAAACAGACTTTTGTATTATTATCATCATCATCATCATCATCATCATCATCATCATTATTATTATTATTATTATTATTATCAAACAACTACTTACAGTATCAGTTGCCACCTCATTTGTACATGTAATCCCTAATAATGTTCATGGTCACCGTGGTACACCTTCACAAGCAACCTCTGCTCTGACTGACTGGGTTATGGCTGGAGGACCAATGAATATGGGACTTTTAGGAGGTAGCTGGGAGTCTGTCTATAGCTGTGTTGATTTATCTACTTAGTGTTAATTGCCTTCAGCAATTGTCCCCTCACAGGTCCATATGGTTCCCTCCCTTACCTCGTTAGTGTTGTGTTGTCAGCCATCTTAACTGGATTTGTGACTCTTCATTGTTAAAGTGTTTGTACAAATTATTACATTACCCATGGGTGACATGGTGACTGATTTGGTGAGACAATACCATCTAATCTAATAAGCCTACTGCTAGACTTACTCTTAGTCTCTGAAATCTTATATTACACACTATCCTTCTTGACTCTAAAAATATATAAAAATTCCCTATGCTGATTTCAGGAATAGAGCTAGCTTGAGCTGGCTAGACTTGCTTTTGTATGAATTTCTAGATTATTTTTTTTTCATAAAATAAATATATTCCACGGTCATGGTGCAGGACTAGCCTACTGCAATAAATTGTGTTTTTTTTAATTTGACAACAGGGAATAAAGAAGTGATAAAATCCAAGATGTGTATTTGCCCCGTGCAATTAAATGAGGCGTTTCTTTTGAAATGGTTGTAATGTACAATTACTAACTCTTCACTCTTAGTAAAGATTACATACAATTTCTTGCACTTCATCTAACCATGATCTTTGTAAAGACCCTGGCATCCTTAATTAACCAGTGTACGATGGTTCCATGCTGAAATGATGAATACCTTCGTCCCATGCATTCACTGTGATAGCCTCGTTTCGAAAGCAATCTCATTAAAATCAGATCTTAGTTCTCGTTATCGCTAAACAAAGATCTGAGGACATCCCATAACGGGTCACGTCAGAACGACCTTTCATCGGACCTATCAAAGCGTCGCTTACCAGATTATGAAAGTGACAGTCGGAATGTGTTTTCTAATCATGCAACCTCGAAACGTTAACACGGGGTATTCCAAACGTCAGTTACGGCCCGTACGACAGATTCCGTCAAAATATCGTCTATATCTCGTTTCCATGGGATAAACATTTGAATGGAGGAGGCGT